TCCATTATTTAACACAAAGCACTTACATCCAAATATTTTCAAATGAGCAACATTAGGCTTTCTACCATTTAACAATTCATAGGGAGTTGATTTTATAATTGGCCTAATGAGCATTCTATTCAAAACATAACATGCAATACTTACCGCATCAACCCAAAAATATTTAGGAACATTTGATTCATTTAGCATTGTTCTAGCAAGTTCCTCTAATGACCTATTTTTCCTTTCAACTACACCATTTTGTTGGGGAGTCCTAGGAGCAGAAAAATTATGTAATATTCCATTTTCCTCACAATAATTTTCAAACCTTTTATTTTGAAACTCACCACCATGGTCACTTCTTCAAACTTTAATTCTTAAGTCTTTCTCATTTTGAATTTGCTTTGCAAACTTCTTAAAGACCTTAAAAGCTTCACTTTTCATTGTTAAGAAAAATTTCCAAGTATATCTAGAATAATCATCAACAATCACAAGACCATAATAATTTCTACCAAAGCTTTTTATCCTAGAAGGACCAAATAAGTCTAAATGTAATAATTCTAACGGTTTTGATGTGGAAATGACACTCTTTGATTTAAATGATGATTTTACTTGTTTACCTTTTTGACATACATCACATAATCTATATTTTTCAAACTTTAACTTAGGCAAACCAACAACTAAGTCTTTTGATATCAATTTATTTAAATGATGCATATTTATATGAGCTGCTCTCTTATGCCATAACCATGGGTTCTCTTCCTTAGCAACTAAGCATGTTATACTAGTATCATGTATACAATCCAAATCAATCAAGTATATGTTATTATGCCTAATGCCTTTCAATGCTACATTTTCGGAATCTATCAAATGTATGATGCAAAATTTACTTTCAAAGATTACCTTAAATCCTTTGTCACATAGTTGACTTATACTAAGGAGATTATGCTTTAGCCCATCAACAAGAAGCACATCCTTAATCTCCAAAGTGTTTGCACCACCTATATTTCCAACTCCAAGAATTTTTCCTTTGTTGTTGTCCCCGTAAGTTACATATCCTTGTTCTTTAGCTTTGAAACTCACAAATTTCGTTTTGTCACCGGTTATATGCTTTGAGCATCCACTATCAAGATACCACATAGACTTCTTTGATTTGGAAGTTTCCTACAAAACAAGAACATAGTAAACTTAGGTCCCCATAACTTTTGGGTCCTTGGGGTTAGAGATAAACAAATTATTTAACAATAGGAACCCAAATGTATTTTCCTTTAGGAACATCAAAATGTTTTATTTTACATCTATTTGAAGTGTGACCTTGTTTCATACAGTAAAAACATGCTTTAGATGTAGCTTTTGAATAAGATGCATTTCTAACAATAGATGCTCTAGTTCCTTTTTCTACCCATACTCTTTTGTTTTTAATCTTAGGCTTTTTCAAAGAAACATGATGGTTTACTTTATTTTGAGCAACAACAACTTTATCTTTCTTAATGTCACTTATCTCCTTTTCAACTTTATCTAGCAAATGGTTAAGTATATCTATGTCATATTCATACTCTTTACAAGATGCACATGCTAAGTTCTTATCATCATTCTCATCTAAGCATACAATTTTCATTTCTAAGGTTTCATTTTCCTCTAAACATGCAATTTTCGTTTTTAATGAATCAACCTCCTTTTCGGATCTACTTAAACTCTTTTTCACAATTTTATATTCATTTTTCAAGTCCTTAAAGGCACTAAACAATTCATTATATGCATTTTGCAGTTCATCATAATTATTGTCATCATCACTTGAAGATGAGTCAGAATCACTTACCTCAAAGTCGGAAGATATGTTGTCATTTGCCATTAAGCAAATATTGGCTTCAACTTCCGAGTCACTTGATTCTGAACTTGAATTACTGTTGTCCCAAGCAATGTAGGCTTTCTTCTTGAACAACTTTTTGCCTTTGTTTTCTTCATTTTTCTTTTTTGGATATTCGGTCTTCACCTGTCCTGTTTCACCACAACCATAACATTTGATATTTACGGATGAATTTTCCCTTACCTTTCCTTTACCTTTGAATGGATGTCTTCCTTTGGCTTTCATGAATTTTGTAAACTTCTTTATCATAAGACTCAATTCTTCTTCTTCATTCTCCGAGTCTTCTTCTTCCTTTTTATTCTTACCTTTGGAAATTTTTGTTTTGAAGGCTAAGTTCTTCTTTTGATATTGACCTTCCTCATCATTTAGCCTTCCTAGCTCTAGCTCATGCTCTCTCAACTTTCCAAAGAGCGCCGCCATAGACATTGTGGCAAGGTTTTGTGACTCCGAGATGGTTGTCACCTTAGGTTGTCATTTCCTATCCAAAGATTTTAACATTTTAACATTTAATTCATCAACGTTAAAAATTTTACCCAATCCGGTGAGATGGTTCACAATATGAGTGAAACGCTTTTGAAAGTCAAATATCGTTTCGCCTTGTTGCATCCAGAACATCTCATATTCTTGGATTAGGAAATTTTTCCATGCTCTCTTAACGCCGTCTATACCTTCGTGGGTCACTCTTAGCATTTTCCACATCTCTTGAGCACTTTTACAAACAGAGATCCTGTAAAACTCGTCAAGGGTTAAAGTAGATGAAATAATATTTCTAGCCCTAACATCAAATTGAGCTTTTCTATTTTCCTCTGTTGTCCATCTAGAAAAAGGTTTAGGAATATCTACTCCGTTCTCAGTAACTTTAGGAATATAGGGACCATTTAAAATAACGTCCCAAACGCCTCTATCAACAGACTCTAAAAAGATTTGCATTCTAACTTTCCAAAATGGATAATTTTGACCCGCAAAAAGTGGGGGTCTGTTGATAGACGCACCTTCGGCAAACATTTGATTTTGTCGGGCCATTTTTCAAAAAATTTGAATGACTATCAAAGCAAGCTCTGATACCACTTGTTGGAATCGCGCAGCGGAATGTTTGCGTGGTCGGACAAAAACCAAGAGGGGGGTGAATTGGTTTCTTAACAAAAATTAGGTTTTAAAAATTTTCCCCAAATTTTACCGATTAAAATACTGTGTAAACGTAAATAAGATAAGGATAGAGTCTTACACAGAGAATTTATACTGGTTCGGATCAAAAGACCCTACGTCCAGTTGCTAATCACTCAAACAGATGATTAACGCTGTCACTATAATCAAAGTTGTTACAAACAGATAACAATGGAAAAGATAAAGTAATGAAAACACCTCTCTTGAGTCCCACAAGAGATGAAGAACAGTTTTCCCTAGAGATGACACAACACACAATCCACTAAGAACTACACTTAGTGATTCTTATCGCTTCTAGCCCACACCAGGTTCCAAAAGCCCATTTTTCCTCCAACAAACAGTTCTTTGGCAATCACAGCTCTCAACTTTTGTTTGAAAAAGGTTGTTCAATTTTTCTGAGAGCCTTAGAGAACCTTAAGTAGAAGAATTAGGGTTTGGGAATTGGGGTTTGGAGTATTGGGATTAGAGTTTTCGAAAATAGGTTTAATTTGAAGTTTAAAATCCAAATCTGACTGAAATAATCGATTAAATCAAGTGTTAATCGATTATTACAGAGCCAAAATCAACAGAACCCCAAAATGCACTGGTTTAATCGATTATTTGCCCTGTTAATCGATTAACAGGTGTGTTAATCGATTATTACAGTGAATAGATATAGAAAATGATTTTTCTCACTGTAATAATCGATTATCTGGTGATTTAATCGATTAAACCCGATCCTTTTTGATAAATATGAGTTTTTGAAGCTTCTAAAGAGTATATTATGTACCGACTATCTTAGACTTTAATATTACAGACTCAAACTCATCAAAACAGAGTTATTACACAACAATACAAGTCTTCAACTCCCTAAGTTCTTTGTTCTTGAATCATCATCAAAATTAACAAGCTTCATGTCCATGTAAGTTCAACATCAAGTCCTTGTATGTTCAACATCTAGGTGCCCCAACTAAAAATAGATTGCATTCAGAGCATCCACGCACAAATAGTCGCACAAAAACAACTTTATCAAAAGCGAAACAAACAAAAAATGCTTCAAGCAAATAAAAATAGAAGAGCTTTCATGTAAGAAAATTAGCTCTGTGCTTGCATTCAAAAACACGAAAGACCCAAAGGCATCCAGGTAAGACTTCACCGACTCTACCAAAAACATACATCAACCACATTAATGAATAATTTTCGATGACCAGCAAAGTCGAACTACAAAGCAAGACTACCCCGCAACCAACAAGTTGGATGACCACCAAAGTAATCCCTGACAAAATTGGACGACTACTCTAGCAAAACATTACTAGAAAAATGTTAAATAGTAATCGAAATCAATGACTAAAAAATATAGTTACTATTAGTGACCGAATCAGTAACTAAATTATTATTTTTTAATTTAGTAACTGAAATAGTAACCAAATTTTCGGTCATATAAAATCAGTTACTATTTCAGTCATTTTATTATTTTATTTTATTTGTTTAATTAATCTACATTTAATTTAATTTAATTTATGTAATTATTTCAATTATTCTATTACCCTTCGAAATTTTCACCTTTTTTACCTCTGAAATTTTCATCTTCTTCGCGCTCTCTGTGACCTCGCGTAACTTCGCGCATTTTCTTCATCTTCTTCGCCCACTAACCACACTTGTTCGCGCATTTCATCTTCTTCACGCATCTCCATCCCCAAGCGACTTCGAACCTCAATGTCGACGAACTCGAGGCCGAAACCCAACTCCGACGGCATTGAACCCCAAGCCAAACCCAAATCATCGTGCAATGAAACTCAGCGCACAAAAAGACCGCATAGGAAAACAATGGGAGTCCACGGTCTCTGGGAGCTTTTCTCCCCCGTCAGTTGCCGCGTCTCCGTCGAAACCCTTGCCGAAAAAACTCTCGCTGTTGATAATCCTCAAACCCTATTCCTTTTGTTCTCTCTCTCCCTCCGCATCAACTAAGTGATCTTCTTCCTTTATTTCCCCTAATTGCAGATGCGAGCATATGGATGGTGCAGTTTATGAAAGCGATGCGCGACGAGAAGGGCGAAATGGTTCGGAACGCCCATTTGCTGGGCTTCTTCCGTTGCATTTGCAAGCTTATGTTCCTCCGCACCAAGCCGGTCTTTGTCTTCGACGGTGGAACCCCTGCCCTCAAGCGTCGCCCCGCACCGCCAGCGCGAAAACGCCTAAGCTAAAGTCCGCAAAACTACGGAGAAAAACTACGGAGAAATTGTTGCTTAATCATGTATGACCTTTTGCTTTGCGTTGTCAATTCCGAAGCTTTGATCACTTTTTTTGTCCCTTTTTTGTGACTGCATTGGTCGTTCGACTCCAATAGAAGGAAAACAATTATCTAAATTCACTTTGAAGGGGAAGAATGTTGAATGGGTTAGAATTGGGTGCAGTTTATTTACTCACTTTTCGTGTATTTCTGTAGTAAGAAAGCGATTAGCACATGCCCATTGTTATAGTTGTATGATTTAGGCTCTTTCGTGTTTTTAGGGTTTCGTGCAATTTTAATGTGAAGGTTGGAATTTTTCTATTTCTTTTTTGGATTGTTGCTCGGATTTTGGATACTGACATGACAATTGATACTGGGTTGTTGATTTGGTGAGTTTTTAGATGTTATTAGTGTCATTAGTTTCCAAATAAATTAGTGAAGGGTGTGGACTCATGTTGATTTGAATAAGGAGTCACTAATTCCTTGAACTTTTAGTTAGTGTGGTGATGTATCAATAGCTCTTGAAAATTGGTATGGTTACAGATTTTGAGTATGATCATGTTTTTTTTTTTGTTCTGCTTTTTATTCTTGCTGATATTAATGGTATGAATTATAGTCCCATGCGATTAATGTAGTAGGGGATGTAAAATTTGAAATTAGAGCTCTGAAAGTTTAAGCTATTATGAAGATTCATCCTGGTTTTTAGAAACATGGAAAAAGTATTGCTTAGTGTTGAATTTTAGACATTCAAAGTGTCAGGATCTTTGAAATTCAATTTGTAAATGCACTTTCTCAGGGTAGTCTTTTTCTACCTGTTTTTGCTGCTTTGATTATTCTCACAGAAATTAATTAGCTCACCACATATTCTTCTTGAAGTGGACATGCAAACTAAGAAAAAAACCTCTAAGAAAAATGCCAGTCAAGATCGTGGTAGTCCTAAGGTTGCAAGAGCACAAAGGAAAGTATCTGAAAATGGAAGAGCTGTTGAAAAGAAAGTGACAGACCTAATTACATCATCTGCTAGGAAAAATAAATCTTGTAAGTACTAGTGATGGTCTGACATTTTTTAAGATAGCTATATCAATTTTTTTCATGTCTTATTTGTCTTTTAATATTTTGCAGTGCATAACTCAACCTTCTAAAATTTTTTTTTTTTAAATTTCCAGTATCAATATATTATGGTCCAAAAACAATGTGTCTTTTGGCAATAGAAAACAGTGAAATTAACTGATTTTACTTCTCATCTTCTTGGTGTAACTTTAGTTAGCACTCTTGAGATTAAAGCTAGAGAGCCCATCCCTTCAACAGATTTGAATAATGGATGAGTTTATGGACAGTGGAACTTCCAATCTTTGTTTGGAAAATGATGCAGTTGATGGTGTTTCACTAGATTTTATGGTATTTTAACTAGACTGCTTTTCTACTTCTCTTATTTTGGATCTTTTACTTTATGTGTGTCCGGGTGTCCATGCTACTACATAAGTTTCTCTTTTGCCTGAAAGTTGTTTTTAATCTTAGATGTCAACTGCATAATGACTCAACGTCATAAGTTTCTCTTTTGAAATGTTGATTTGATTTTAAGGTTCTCGTATAAATTGGATATATTCTGACACTTTTTTGTTTTTGTTTTTGTTTTTTTAAATGCATTTAAATAATGCTTCAGGGTTGCAACGATCAAGCTGTTCATCTTGAGTCTGGAACTATATTTTCTCCTGGGTTTCACTTATCCAAAAATCCTGGAGGAAAAGTTGACATAGGTAAATGACATTGTGTTATTTTAATTATTCTTGGCATTGATTTTTTTTTCTTTTCTTTCTGTTTGTCCATGAAATTTTCTTATATTTTTAAATTATTTTTTAATCTTTTTTCTTTTGTTTCTATCTAGTTGATTTTATCAAAATTTTTTAGAATGAAGACAAAAGAAAACTTCTCCATGTCAAGAATTAAAGTTACCTCAAGAATATGCAGTAGATGGTCCTATCACTCAAGGATCTGACACAGCAATGGAGGTAGACATGAACAATTCATCCAACTACTCTAATTCTGGGAGCTGTGGAAATCAGATACATGCTTTAGGCACAGGAAATATGAATGGTTGCAATTATGATTTTGATGGAAATGGTCTTTCCATGGAAGTTTCAGCCATATATCTTGCCATGAAAAACTCAAAGCTGGAATGTGTTGATGAGCACGGTCAGGATCCAATGTCTTCTGACATATACAGAGGAGGATGAGTTTGAGGATTTTGATGACTTTGACCCATACTTATTCATAAAGACCTTACTAGACTTGTCAACAGTGGTTCCAACTTTTAGACGATTGTTGTTACCTAAGCAGACGCGTAGTTGCCCTTCAATTACTCTTGTTCTGGACTTGGATGGTAAGTAAATCATATATGTACACTTGGCATCCCTAATTGATAAAATGTGCATCATAGTTTTTTTTTCCTTCCCTTTTTCGGTTTAGATATATTATGGATGGTCTTTCGGTTGCAACAAAACAGTGTCCTGTTCAGTTTTATTTTGATGTCCATCGTTCCAGTTTGCTTCCCCAACTCCATACGTAAAATTTGTGATTTGATGTGTAATCTATGCTTAAAAATATAAAAACAATAGTTTATTTCATTTTCTTTTCTCAGCCTGCTATGCATGGTGAAGTTGATCCAGCTGTTCTAGCCTCATTGCCTCCATCAATGCAGCTGGACCTTCTTGTTCAGGTAGTTTAGTTCCTAAAGTACTTTTTAGCGCAAGTACCTTTAAAATTTTATTCTAATCAGCAACTCAATATTGTTACTGCAGATGAGAGAGCGTTTAATTGCAGAAAACAGACAAACGTATCAGAAAGTCAAGAAGATTTGTGGAAAGAATTCATATGTAATTTTGATATATTGAAATGTAAAGCTTGTACCTTGTTAAAATTGCAGTTGTCATTTATAGTATATATAATGTATTTCATATTCTTTAATATAGTCTATCATTATTTTAATAATAATATAAAAAAATAAAATAAAATAAAATTAGTGACCGATATAGTAATTGATTTGGTCATATATATTTGGTCATAGAATCGGTCATTGATTCGATCAATCTGATTTGATCACTGAATCGATCATCTGATTCGGTCATTAGATCGGTCATCTGATTCGGCCACTAAATCGAGTTACAAATCGAGTTACTAAGGAAATAGTGACCGATTCTAGTTGGTTACTATTTCGGTCACTATTTTAGTTAGTGATTGATTTTGATCATTTAGTGATCAAATTTTCGATCACTATTTGATATTTTTCTTGTAGTGAAATAAAAAACAAATATCAAAGTAACCAATCCTACAACATGAGGTTTTATAATTTGAAAATAATAAAAATGCCTCAAAACATTTTAATCTGTTTAAAATTCTTTTAATCGATTAATTTGCTCTTAAGTCTCGAATTTAATTGATATATTTATGAATTAATCAATTAAATCACTTAAAGGAACTTGAAAACTCTTTTGTCTCATTTTTAAGCTGATATATTTTTGAAGTAATTGATTAAAGCAACATAAACCAATTGAAAACATTTTTTTATCATAATTTTAATCGATACATCTTCGAATTAATTGATTAATTTCACTTAAGAAGTTCTCGCAAAACTTTACGCTAGTATTTTAAGCGATATATCTTCGAATTAATCGATTAAAATCACTTAAGTTTTAGAAAAATTCATGCAAGAATTTTAATCAATATAAATTTGAATTAATAAAATAAAAACACTTAAAGCAATTTTGTATCACTTGTTTTAATCGATTAAAACTTCGTTTTTATCAGTTAAAATGCCTACGGAAATATTTTAATCAATTAAACCACATTTTTATTAGTTAAAATGCCTCGGAAATCGTAGAACATTTTAATCAATTAAATGATATTTTCATTAGTTAAAACCAGTTAAAGTCAAGTTATTTTAATCGATTAAAGAGCGAACTAATCGATTAATTAGATAAGTTAGTTAAAAAAATCTCTACATTAACATATTTGCTTCAACATTTTAATACACATCTTTTAGAACTTATTCAAGCAATCTTTAGAGATCTTTTCAAGAGAGAAGCACGCTCCTTCCAGTGAGAAATTTCAGAATTCTTTCTTGAGACTTTTTTTATTCTTACTTGTGAAGAAACTCATTCTGCAGATTAGAATTCTGCATCTGCATAACCGGTGTGATTGTTCTCGTTTCTTCAAGTCTTTCAATTCTTTTTAAGTTCTGTATACTCTTGTTGTTTGGAAGATTGGGCACTAGTTTTGCAACTAGAACTTGGTTGCAGGTTAAGTTCAAGAACTAGAATTTGGTTCTTGGTCCAGGTTGGGTGTTTTGTAATTTGATTTTGTAATCAAAACATTTTCAATCTAGAGGAACTCAACTTCCTAGCTCTAGCTCATGCTCTCTCAACTTTCCAAAGAGCGCCGCCATAGACATTGTGGCAAGGTTTTGTGACTCTGAGATGGCCGTCACCTTAGGTTGCCATTTCCTATCCAAAGATTTTAAGATTTTAACATTTAATTCATCAACGTTAAAAATTTTACCCAATCCGGTGAGATGGTTCACAATATGAGTGAAACACTTTTGAAAGTCAAATATCGTTTCGCCTTGTTGCATCCAGAACATCTCATATTCTTGGATTAGGAAATTTTTTCGTGCTCTCTTAACGCCGTCTGTACCTTCGTGGGTTACTCTTAGCATTTTCCACATCTCTTGAGCACTTTTACAAACAGAGATCCTGTAAAACTCATCAAGGGTTAAAGTAGATGAAATAATATTTCTAGCCCTAACATCAAATTGAACTTTTCTATTTTCCTCTGTTGTCCATCTAGAAAAATGTATAGGAATATCTACTCCGTTCTCAGTAACTTTAGGAATATAGGGACCATTTAAAATAACGTCCCAAATGCCTCTATCAACAGACTATAAAAAGATTTGCATTCTAACTTTCCAAAATGGATAATTTTGACCCGCAAAAAGTGGGGGTCTGTTGATAGACGCACCTTCGGCAAACGTTTGATTTTGTCCGGCCATTTTTCAAAAAATTTGAATGACTATCAAAGCAAGCTCTGATACCACTTGTTGGAATCGCGCAGCGGAATGTTTGCGTGGTTGGACAAAAACCAAGAGGGGGGGTGAATTGGTTTCTTAACAAAAATTAGGTTTTAAAAATTTTCCCCAAATTTTACCGATTAAAATACTGTGTAAATGTAAATAAGATAAGGATAAAGTCTTACACAGAGAATTTATACTGGTTCGGATCAAAAGACCCTACGTCCAATTGCTAATCACTCAAACAGAGGATTAACGCTGTCACTATAATTAAAGTTGTTACAAACAGATAACAATGGAAAAAATAAAGTAATGAAAACACCTCTCTTGAGTCCCACAAGAGATGAAGAACAGTTTTCCCTTGAGACGGCACAACACACAATCCACTAAGAACTCCACTTAGTGATTCTTATCGCTTCTAGCCCACACCAGGTTCCAAAAGCCCCTTTTTCCTCCAACAAACAGTTCTCTGGCAATCACAGCTCTCAACTTTTGTTTGAAAAAGGTTGTTCAATTTTCTGAGAGCCTTAGAGAACCTTAAGTAGAAGAATTAGGGTTTGGGAATTGGGGATTTTCGAAACTTGGAGTATTGGGATTAGGGTTTTCGAAAATAGGTTTAATTTGAAGTTTAAAATCCAAATCTGACTGAAATAATCGATTAAATCAAGTGTTAATCGATTATTACAGAGCCAAAATCAACAGAACCCCAAAACGCACTGCTTTAATCAATTATTTGCCCTGTTAATCGATTAACAGGTGTGTTAATCGATTATTACAGTGAACAGATACAGAAAATGGTTTTTCTCACTGTAATAATCGATTATCTGGTGATTTAATCGATTAAACCCGAGCCTTTTTTATAAATATGAGTTTTTGAAGCTTCTAAAGAGTATATTATGTACCGGCTATCTTAGACTCTAATATATAGACTCAAACTCATCAAAACAGAGTTATTACACACCAATACAAGTCTTTAACTCCCTAAGTTCTTTGTTCTTGAATCATCATCAAAATTAACAAGCTTCATGTCCATGTAAGTTCAACATCAAGTCCTTGTATGTTCAACATCTAGGTGCCCCAACTAAAAATAGATTGCATTCAGAGCATCCACGCACAAATAGTCGCACAAAAACAACTTTGTCAAAAGCGAAACAAACAAAAAATGCTTCAAGCAAATAAAAATAGAAGAGCATTCATGTAAGAAAATTAGCTCTGTGCTTGCATTCAAAAACATGAAAGACCCAAAGGCATCCTGGTAAGACTTCACCGACTCTACCAAAAACATACATCAACCACATTAGCGAATAATTTTCGACGACCAGCAAAGTCGAACTACAAAGCAAGACTACCTGGCAACCAACAAGTTGGATGACCACCAAAGTAATCCCCGGCAAAACCGGACGACTACTCCAGCAAAACACTATTAGAAAAATGTTAAATAGTAATCGAAATCAATGACTAAAAAATATAGTTGCTATTAGTGACCGAATCAGTAACTAAATTATTATTCTTTAATTTAGTAACTGAAATAGTAACCGAATTTTCGGTCACATAAAATCGAGTTACTATTTCGAGTCACTTTATTATTTTATTTTATTTTTTTAATTAATCTACATTTAATTTAATTTAATTTATGTAATTATTTCAATTATTCTATTACCCTTCGAAATTTTCACCTTTTTTACCTCTGAAATTTTCATCTTCTTCGCCCTCTCTCGTGACCTCGCGTAACTTCGCGCATTTTCTTCATCTTCTTCGCGCACTAACCACACTTGTTCGCGCATTTTCTTCATCTTCGCGCACTAACCACACTCCTTCAAGACATTGCTCATGACCCGTCAGGACAAAAACTTGTTTGATCTTCTCTTTTCTCTCTTCTTCTCTATTTTAATTTTTTCACTCTTTCTATTCTTCTCCTTTTCTGGTCTGAATTGGTTCAAACTTCTTCGGAGAACTAAATTTTGAGGATTAATTCACGGAATCAAGATCAAACAAGCTAAATTGAGTTTTGCACTTGTTTCTCGCTCTGATAAGAAGATTGTTTGATTAAGAATTAATGGATTAATCTATCTTCTTTTGATTTTGATTTCTATTTCTTTATTTTCAATTTTGCTTTAAAATTCTTGTTTTACATTTTCAAATCCCCATATTTAACTTTTAACGAAAGAATATTAAGAATTAAATACATTTTAATATGTATCCTTGAGAAACATGGCCTAGGTATGCATTCTATATTAGAAAATATTTTGAGAAAACTTAGTATATTTGATTTCATGAACGATAGGGAAAATCATTCAACTTAATAGATCCAAAAGTGATAGTCATCCAGATCGACTTGTCTGAGCTTTTCATTAATCGACTTATCTGAGATTATTTATTATTGTAAATTTTTGGTAAGAACAAAATATACGTTGTAGTTTTACCTTTAACACTTTATGATACTTTTGTAAAAATTTTGAAAAAATTCACCACTATTTGTTTTTCAACTAAACCTAAGTTTCAATATTAAACATTAAAAGACAATATGAAAGTAATCAGTTAAAATCTTTCAAAAAAATAACCGTGTAATCTAATTTAACTTTTTTAAAAGATATTAATCATTAATTTTAATGATAATGATGAAGAAATATTGAATATCTTAACAATTTGATGAAGTCAAAGGA